AAAAAAAAAAAAAAAAAAAAAAAACTACTGAACAAACCAAATCAGTAGATTTTTTTTTTTTTTTGAAATTATTTTCCAGTTGACAGACATTTAATTTGCTGTTACTTTTCATTTTTTTCCTTTTTTTTTTTCAAATTTTAAATATTTCTAATTTTGAAGTCAATTGTTGCTTGAAAAAAAAAGAGTTTCTTTTTTCTGCTTCTTCTAAAAAAAATTAAAACAGTGTGTAACTGAGATGAAAAAATTGTTAAGTGTTTATCACTGTGTCGGTGTTTGTGCCCTTTATTTATAAATAAATATAAAAGGGACTAGATTAGGTGAATTTTAACTTAAGCAAAAAAAAAATTACCATCTGTAAATTGGAATCAATGAACAAATATTGGTAAGAAAATAGAAAAAAAAAAACTATTACCATTGCAGTTAATTTTATTGATAGACTAAGCAGCAATAAACATAAATTGTATGTACGTTCAGTTTTTGAAGCCATCGTAAAACGCTATGCAAAAGAATTTACATAGCGTATAAGTAAATAATAAAGTTTTTTTGACTATCATAGTTGGCAATTAATAAATACTACTCTACTGTAAACAGTAAAAAATTATGATTAGCCATTTGTTGCCAATGTTGCTTCTTCTTTTTTGCTATATAACTAACTGTATGCTTTTGGTTATTAAAGACCAAAAAAGAAAAAAAAAAAAAAGAACTTTTTTAATACTTTAAAGAATGTCGATTTTCTTTGCGATGAACAGAGAAGAAGAAGAAGCGACAACGCTTCTTCCCTCTTTCTTTCTTTCTTCATATCGTTCTGGAAAGAAACTGGAGACAAATTTTGAAGATATTGTAAAAAAAAATAGGAGGAAAACAAAAGATAGGATAGGGGAACGGAGCAAAAAAAAAAAAAAGTAGTGAAAGGCACTCAAAAAGACGGAATGACAGCTGGGCAAAGAATGGAAATCAACAGATAAAAAAAAACTATAAGCATTAATTGTTGCTTTTTCAGTGGGATATTACTTATTATTTTTGCTTTTACTTCTAGCTTTTTTTTTT